ATAAGTTGAACTCCATTTCAGTCATTACCTTCCCAGTTAACCTTACCCCACACGAATTCTTGCCAGCCCTAAACCTGCATCTGTAGGAAAGCACATTTGGGTTTTGGTTTCTGCCGGCTGTGGACACATCAGCCTCTTCTGTAGCTTTGCCACGGTGCTGCGAGCCGGTGCTGCGCTGTAATATTGTCATACTATTAAGATATTAATACTATTAATAATATTGTATAAAATTTATAATATGATATTAATAACGATATTAATAATATTGTCTAGTAAGAAGCAGGTTGCTTTAGGCAGTTCGGCGACTTGACGGGCGCAAAAAAAGTCGATGTCGTGTAATTCTTCTGTTTCCTCTCCCCCAGGTACGTTCAGGCTGAAATACGCTCCTCCCTCCGAAAGCCTTGACTCCACAGACTGATATTTTATCTGGCGAGAAAATACCGTTAAGCCATGGAGATACAAGGAGATTGAAATGCAAAACTGAGACGTCCAGTTGCTGTTAAGCTTAATGTATTTTTTAATCCAAAGGTGCTTTACTTTATTAGACTAGGTAGAAAATCTAGCTTAGGGGTGCGTCGGACCCATTTTCGATTGCCAAATCCGAGCTTGGATCTTGCCGTTGGAACTCACCGACCACAGGACCGGAGGGATGGTGGAGCTGGCCCAGCTGCCTTTTCTCTTGCGAGTACAACACCCGATGTCCTTGGGTTTTGCCGGAGAACGTCGCCGTACGAGGACTTTCGAAGGCGAAACGTCGTAATTCCAGGGCAGCTCCATCCTGAAGGGGAAGCTGGAGGCTGAAGGTAGGAGCCGGCCGTTCGCCAGAAGGACTTTGGCACCCCTGGGCTAGGTAAAATGTCTACTTTTTTTCAAAAGTGATCAGGCACTAATCTCTGGGATTTTTAAGGATTGCACTACAGAAGAATGTAAAACTCTTCAAGCTTTCTGCACTTTTAGCAGACGGTGTCACTCTGAGACCAGTGCAAGAGGCAAAGAAGTTCCAGCTTTGACAAAATTGGCACCAGCAGGCTACGTGACTGAACTACACAATAAAAACCTGAAGTCAGTCTCTCCTTTCCCCTCCAAAAGAACACACACGCGGCAGTTTTTCGGTTCCTTCTGGAAACAATCTTGTGCTTCGTTGTCTCACTTACTACTAGATAGTGCTGGGTTCCCAGCAGCGGAATAAACTCAAGTTTCCAAGGGTCCAAGTCCCAGAGACTCCAGAGTCATAAAGGCTTCAAGGCTATTTTCCTGTCATACACAAAACAACCTTTACGTCCTGTTACTGTATATAGGTCTCTTTCACAGAAACCTTATTATTCTGCTTTTGTAAATGAATTTTAAACCATCCTAAAAAAAAAAAAGACAAAAAAAAAAGAACTCTGGCAGCAGAGTTTGTAAGCTTTTGCTTTACTTTATATAAAAAAAAAAAAAAACCAACACAAAACCAACCTTTGACTCCTACCCCAAGGCTTTTCCTACAGGATTCTGAAGTGGTAGAAGTCAAACATGTAAAAGGTAGTAAACTTCATTATTCTCAAGACTTTGAAGGATTTACTGTCAGCCTCCTTCATTGCAATAGACTGTAGATGAGTAGCTTCGGTGTTAACTACTTAGCGTACATCATTTGGGGGTGACAAATCTAAACGAGGACTTGAGAAGGAAGCCAAACGAATCTTGAACTGCTCACGTGAAACACTTTGGTCCTGTCTGCTCGCAAGAAGACACTAAACCTCACGGCTCACCCCAGGAACCCGACGGCATCACACGGGTGAGGCCTTCTCTCCGAAACGCCTGACGTAGCGAGGATCTGCATCCCGTCATTTGGAAGACGCCTTTACAAGTCTGAAGCCTTGTTTACACTTGGGAGGTTATTTCTTAATCCGTGCCAGGATGAAGAGCAAGCTTTTGGAGCGGCGCAGCTGACCTACGTTATATAGCGAGGAGGAGGAGGAGGAGGAGGAGGAGGAGGTGTCGAAGCGGCACGGAGCTGCCCGGAGGAGGTTGGGCCTTAATGATGAAACATCAAGTGTGAGGGGTGGGTAACGCAGTAGCTCGACAGTCGAGACCTTCCTGGACCGTGTTCGGAGGAAAGAAAATGTTCTGGGCCATCCTTCAGCGCTGCCGGGCGGGCGTCAGCCTCGCAGGATAAATGAGCGTCACCGGAAAGGCCACGGCGAGAAACCAGACTCAGCTGTGGGTTGCACAACCCAAAATCTAAATTCACGTAAACATTTGGTCTGACGAAAAAAATAAATATATTATTTATCCCTATGCAATGAAAAAATTAATTGGATTTCTCGGCCCAGCTCGTGCTCCCCGCGCTGTCGAAACGCTTCTGCTCGCTCTGCCAGTGTTCGGACGAAAACAACTTCCAGACCTGCAACACTAAAGCGATGAAAACTGACAATGCAATTTACTTTGCCTTAATGAGCTCGAGACAATGGTAGGAACAATCGGTCAGACTGTATTGCGCTGAAGGAAACGCAGTTTTCAGTGGCGACGTTTACCATTTACAGCTTTGAGGGTCTCTCCAGTGGCCTGGAATATGTGCTGAAAGCCAAACCTTAACGTTGTGGGGGTTTGTTTTTTTCCGACTTTTTTAAAAGGATATTTTAAAAACGGAGTTGTATTTAAATACGCTGTCTTTCAACACACATGCCCAGTGTTAAAAGCCCTCTCAAAATAGCAAAAAAATAACAGCCAAAAAAAAAATACAAATAGTAAAATCTAGGAATTTCTGTACCAGGTGCGTTTTGGATTAATGCCCAGGGCTGGGCGCGCCGTCTCGTCTAATACTCATCACGGAGTCGAAAGCATCAACGAAAGGACTGTAAACCAGAGCTCCTGCCCAGCAAACTGCTTCATTCCTTTTCTTCCGAGCTTTCCTTGGGATCGTTTCCTTCGTGTAAAGTCAAGGCCGAGGGGTTTTTTTAAGTGGCTTACGTGTACTTTTAGAGAACATTTTTTAAACGGCGAAGTCTGATTTTAGAGTAAGGTCGAATCTGAAGTCTTTGAGTACTTTAAAAGCAACACAAGCGAAATGTTCGATGAGCCAGCAGCAGCTGCGGAGCTTTTCCTCGATGAGAGCGAGTTGGGGTTTCAGATCTACTCGTGAACGCTGCCCGCTTGGTACCAAGACCAACCAAAGCTGGGAAGTCCGAACAGAGCACTTTAGTTCCATAAAATAATCCTGAATTTCCTCTTAAAAGGCACAAATCCATCTTTCCCCCCTGAAAAAGTATGGCAGCTTGTTTTAGAATATTAATTCCAGCTTCGCTGCTTGCAAAGAACCCCTTCCTAAAAACCTATTTTTATACGTTGAAAGCTGGAGATTTCAAAGAACGCTATTTATTCCTATCTTTGTCCTAAAAGTCTAAAAAAAGAATTGGTTCTCAAAATGGATTTCACTGTGGAACAGAAATGAGAATTTTAAGCGTAAGACGGGACGGAATCCCAAGTGATCTCCCTGCAGGGGCCCAGAGAAGTTAGCGAGGAGCGTCCCCGAGCGACCTGCGGGGCAGTTTCGGAAGCGGTTTCCGTTTGGGAGCATTGGAAACACTTGGAATAGGACAGAATTTCCTGCAAACTCCTCCTCGCCCAGGCAGCCCGCGAATAAATACACCAAGCCCGGCGCTGAACAGCAGGAGAGCAGAGAGGGAAGCCTCGTTCTAGCAAGCGAGGTGCTGATCCGAGAGCTCCACTATACTTTTTCCTTAAAAAAAAGCACGTCACGCTCCACTTTTTTGTGAAACCTTTTCATACCGTGATCGTTAAATATCGGCAAACCAAGCGGCAGACTTGTGAAAATTAACGGTGGGCCGCTAGAGCTTTACCGGTACCCAAAATTGTGTTTTCATGGTCAAGGTACTCAAAATTTCGATGTAATTTGTGGCGTTAGGCAGAGCGACGCTCCTCCCCGAAATACAAAAATAAAAAACAAAGACAGGGCGTGCCAACCCTGCTCCTTGGGGGTCACGGACACTCGGAGCTGTGGAGTCGGGGGAGTCTGGGATGCCCCGTTCAATGACACGGCCGTGGGCAAATCTGCCAGAAATCCGCATCGCCGAGCACTTGGCAAGAGTCTCCAAGACTTTTTATTCCCGGTCGAGGCCCCTGCCCGCCGCCGTCCCTCGTAACAAACCCTTGGAACTACCCGTTTGCGCTCGTAAATTTTTCTTACGTGAGCAAGACCCGTGTCGGTACTGAGGCAGAAAAGCAAATCCTGCGTGTTTTCAAGTGCAGATTTAACAGCTTCTCTTGGACATAACTTTCCACTAGGAATGAAGGAAACTCCTGCTCCCACTTGAGCCATTTCTTTTACTTCGGTCAATTCTAGTATTACAAAATTGTGCATGTAACTTTATAAATATTTTAAATAGTTTTGTAAATATTTAATATTCAGCTAATTTGATTTTGAATTGTAAATGTCAAGTATTCTGGTATTGGGATTTTTATGTTTTATTATACTTTGTTAAAAGTAAAATTGTACATTTTTAGAATGTTTTTATCTGAGTAAATTTAATGTATGGAAAATAAAGAGTTAAACAGAATCCCTCTGTAGTTTTCTTTCATTTCAAGGGGCTTCACCAGCGTGGCAGCTACCGGGGTGGGTTGGTTTTTTTCTTTTTTTATTTCCTTTTATTACTTTTGCTGTCTCTCCGCCCACAAGACATCTGCTTGTGAATCGCTCTGGGCCGAGGAATCCAAACTCCTCTGACTGCAGCCTGGAGGGTTTTGTGGGGTGATTGCAGCTGAAATTCCTCCTGCTGGAGGGTAGTAGATCCCTGCCTCCAACTCCGAGGGACAGACCCCTCCACGCCCTGTTCCCTACCGAGATTGGATGGAAGGAAGGCGGCTGGAAATAACCACGCGAAGCCTAATGAAGTCGGGATGTGTGATCCATCCGTATCAGCACTGTATTAATTTTAAAAAAAGCAACGTTTGTACAGGAAGATCGGTCAATCACGTCGTTAATTACAAGTACGGTTGTCAGTTCCGAGTTAAACGATCTCTCACACGAACGAAACTAAACGTAGAACAAGCTGCGTTTTTAAAAGTTGACGTCGGAGTAAAAACACAAAGAACGATTTAAAAAAAAAGGAGGAAGTAAGCGTTGTGAAGGAGATGCATGCAAAGAGGAGTAGGTAGGTACAAACTGTACACCTTGGGGAGCCAGAGTGCCAGGACGCAGTAGTATTGCTTCTTTCCCCCCGCCCCGTTAGAGTAAATTAGCTTCCAGTAACAGATGGAGTTAGTTCACAGACACAGAATATACACGAGTAACCTCATCCTGCTACGCTTCACTTGACAACGACTCTAGAGGAGAAAAAAAAAAAAAAGACAGAGGTCCTACAAGATCCCTGCACAGGCTGCCTCCCTGCTCAGGACAGGAGTAACACCGAGCTCTTCCAA